AAAGCTATAATATATGTGCAGAGAACCTGTTGCAGACCCATGTAGGCACTGTGCATGCTGTTTCAGCGAGAGAGGTATTTTTAAATTAGAAAAAAATTAAAATAATTGCAAGTGTTCAAATATATACATACAAGTAGTGAAAGGAAGCACATATAGTGGCCAGAAAAGGCTGTTAGGCTTCCCAAAGCTGGAGCTACAGGTGTTTGGGGAATAGATGCCCAGCTTGTTAACATAGATGCCAGGATTTGAATCAGGTCTTTATTCCACTCCCCACCACATCCACCAGTCTGCTTTTTGTCTCTACAGTCTCTATAGGTTTGCCTATTTTAGACATAGAAACAAAATTGTACAATAAAGGTTTTGTAACTGGATTGCCCATAACAGAATATTTTCAAAGTTCACCCATATTATAGTATATAATTCCAATAATTCATGCCTTTTCATTGTTGAGTAATATTCCATCATACGAGTACCTGACATTTGTTTACCCTTTCATTAGTTACTGAATCCACAGGGCATTTCACCTTTTTTGCCATCATGGATAATACTACCATGCACATTTATATACAAATCATTCTCTCAATGTATATTTTGGAGTCTCCTGGTATTTATCAAGGAGAGGAATTCTTTCCCACTTGTGTATTTTATTACTTCCTGCTATTATCATTTGATATATTTTAGCTGAGGCATCAGAATTTATATTATACACTCACATGATAGTCACAACATAGGCTGATTCTTTCAACAGTGCAGTAGACAATATTTGTACAGTGGGTTGTAAATATAAGAAATAAGGGTGTCTGAGTGTACTTTTAGTGAAATTTAGGTTTTATATTAAAAACCTACATTTACCACACACAAGATCAAAAAATGTAATAAAAATATTTATAGAATCAACTGGGATACTAGGAACATTCCTTCTCCCCTCCATACAGAAAGATACTGTTTATTTGTGAAATAATTTGTTAAAAAATTGTCAACCCAGACTGTAAAATTCCTAGGCATTTACTTTGCTCATTGTTTTTGTTTGGAGTTAATGTTTTCACCTTATGCACAATAACTGATAGAAAGTTTAATTAATGCATTACATGAGAATAAAAAGAAATTAATGATTGTGATGATCACTTTGACCTCTAGTGATGGCTTCTACCAAAAAAGCTACTTCAGTGAAATGTTTGAGAAGCACAAAACACTAGTCCTCAACTTTCATTGTGTGTGTGTGTGTGTGTGTGTGTGTGTGTGTGTGTGTATTGTATGTGCATGAAGGCATGCACAGAAGCTAGAGGAGGAATCAGGTGTCCTGTTCTATCACTCTTTGGCTTATTCCTTTGAGACAAAGTCTCTCATTGAACCCAGCCAGCAAAGTCCAATATTCCCTCTGTCTCCATTCCTGACCCCAGACCTGGAATTATAGGTGTGAATGACTGCTCTAGTCTTTGTATTCAGATCCTCTTGGTTAATGCAGTAAATATTTACCACTGAGAAACCTCTCTAATCCTAAACATATTTTGTAATATGGAAGCCATTTCATGAATGTAAGGTACTCATGGGTATACTTGTTGGTGTTTGAAAAGTATGGCTGTTTAACAGCAAGTTCCCTTTCTAGCTGTAACTCCAAATTATACCTCAGGTTTTTTTTTACCCTTGTCAGAAATTACTAGAAATGTTAATGAACAATTACTAACAGAATCTTTTAAAAACAAGCAACCAAGCAACAAAACCCTCTTATGTTGGCAGACCTTACATTTTTAATAATGATGCCTGTGAGGGGCCTAATGGAAACATGTTTAATGGCTAGCAATTTATGGTAGTTTGATTTTCAAATATCCAATTCGCTTTAAATCAGTGCACCTACAACTTTGTCTTCCCACAAGTTACCTATGGACTTTGTTAAAATTTATGTTCTAGTTGAGCAAGTCTAGTCTAGGGTGAGGTTGATTTTCTCACTCCCAGGTGATCAGATGATGTTGGTTTGGTAGCCCCACTTGAAGTAACAAAGCTTTAAATGCTCATCCTCTAACAGTAATATATACATGTTTAATCTTACTGCACCCAAACCTACTACACACTCAAATCTCCCATAAACATAACTAGTGTGACTTCAGATAAGCCAGGAAATTTTGATTTGGGGTGTTTGTTCCCTCATACATTTTTTCATACATATTTGAGGTCACTATTTAGAAGAGCCAGTCATCTGGAGGACTGGTCTCTGGATAATACACCCACATGGCATATTAGTAGGTGGTTTAATATATTATAGCTCAGGAAAAAATGAATGAAAGCAAATAGATGAATGGGGAAGCTGTTAAATTGTATAGCATGATATGGTGTTACCCTAAACCACAGGAGGGTGTGGTGAGAGAGAGATACACACAGAGAGACATAAACTGTGGGGGTGGGGAGACAAGAAACAAGAGAAAGAAGTCTAAGCTTATTTCAAAGTTCTTAGCTTAAAATCTTGGTAAACAGTAATACTCCAAAGTAAGAGAATGCCAGGCTAGAGGAATTTTGGAGAAGTAAGTTTACTATTGGAACACTGTATTTATATCTATGGAACATACACATAGCCAATTCAGTGTTTGGGTTTGTAGTCACAAGTGCAGGTTTGGACCTCACTTTGCCATTTGTTTAACTGTAAGGTCTTGGGAAAGTAACAGAGTCTCTGAATCTGCATTTGTAAACATGCTCGCCAGCAGATTGAAACACTTCCTGAGTGGGGAGTGAGGACTGAAATAATTAAAGCAGTCACAATACACAGGGGATCAGCTCGAGAGGGCTGTCAGTAAGACTATAGCATGAATTTATTCCACAATTTCCCTTTTATAGGCAAAGCAAAAACAAGTCACCTCAATACAAGAAAGAAGTTCATGGCACTGCCAAACTTGTTTTCTAAAACTACTTCCCTATAGCACATATGGTCCAAGGTCACACAAACAAGTTTTAAGGAACTTGGTGAAACTTCCTCTTTTCTGTCTCAAGGTAAAGGCCAGGGTGAAAACATGTTTTTTGATGCTTTGTTAAGCAACTTGACAAACAAGCAGCTCTCTACATAAACATAAGAAAAAAAGCATAGGCTTATTGATGAACATGACATACTATACATTAAGTGACAGGACAATACCAGCAGGGATGTTCAAGATCATTTGTAATCCCTAAGTTAGAGTAACATGCACAATTGATCAGTGATTAGAATAGCATACTATTTTAAATATGTTTTTAAAGAAACAATTATTTGCAAAGACTTGAAGTAGATTATGATCAAGATAAAATTTTATATAAAACATAATTCAATTTGAAAAAAAATGTTTCTTTATATAATCAGTGAAGTTTTTTTTTTTTTTAAACAAAAGCAAGATATCAAATTGCCCTGCTGTGTACACATGATCTTACAATGGAGCGTCTTGGTACAGCTGGCTGGGTTCAGAGTAGGGGGAAAGGAACCATATGATTCTGATGCACCTTGCCATAACTATAGTCATAAGGTTACTGAATGACATTGGAGGCTGAAACTGTGCAAATGAAGGAAGACAAGAGGTATATGCATTTGCTGCACTTATTGACCTTTCATTATGACAAAAAGGAGACATGACATACCTTTAATACTCTTTCAGACTTTCCCCTGGGAAACACATCCTGTCTAGGCTCTTGGTCCTAGAGTCTAGGATTGTCTCTTCCATACTCTGAAAAGAGCTGCTTTGACTACCTACTATCTTTTGATGGTAGAGAATCACACATTGTCCTGGTCTGGGGTTTTATTTTGTTGTTGCTGTTGTTTGGGGGGAGGGGTGTTGTTTGTAGTGTTTTTCATCCAAAACAACAACAACAACAAAAACCAAACAAAACAAAAAAAAAAACATTCTTGTGACATACACCTGCTTCAAAAGAAATGGCCCACATCTTGGAAGATTTAACCTGGAGACACTCCCTCTATCTCATAATTTCAGCCACATGGCCATATTTCTTCATTTTAGATACCTTGACAACTTGTCTGACCCTTTCTATGAATTCTTTCTGTAAGCCTGTTTTCACTCTCGTTATATTCTTTAGCTGCAGGGATTGAATCATCTTAACAAAAAATAAAATAACAACAATGACAAAAAAACAATAAAACAGCCCCCAAATAATTCCACACAGCAGACCTCTTTCATCTTAGTGTATAAGCATCTGTGCAACATTGCCAAGATATTAGGAAATGAAGGCTGCCCTACAAACGATTTTTTTCTTGGAACAGCTTTCGAAAAAGAAAATACCTTCATAAGTAGTTTAGGTACCTAAAATGTTGGGCTAGTGATGTTCCATCCTTTTTAAGAGTAGTTAAATAAACAGAGGCAGCAAGGGGGGAGGGAGTTCCCAAGTGAATGTGGGGGAGAGATGTTTTCTGAGATTTGTATTCTTCTGTAAAGAGCGGAAAGATTTTAATTTAGGCAAGACTTTTGAACAGTGAATCTTATGGGTAAGTCACTTCATTTGCTAGTGCTCTCCATTGATTAGCGAGAGAAGCAGAGGATCTACTTTGAAAGATTTCTGTGAGTTTTACCTGAGAGATCACCTAGTTGGAACTAATTAAATGGAAGTTAATTAAATTGCAGGCCCTGCTTCCTGAATGGGCCATTACTCAAAAATGCTGAAAACTTTGTTTTCAACAAATTAACACTCTCACTGTATATATTAAAAAAAAAAAAAAACTAACTAAGCGCACTGCTGTCATACCTGGAGTTAGCTTATTTGACGAAAAAAAGTTTTAACTTTTCGCGGACAAACCTCACCTAACTGGTAGCGGGACCGTTTGGAAGGTGCCCCCCGACTTGCCCAACTCTTACCCCCGTGCATTGTGGGAAATGTAGTCTTGAGCCATAGTCAACGGTCACAGGAAAAAGGAAAGAAAACTACAACTCCCAAGAGGCGTCAAAGCGGGACTATTTCCTAGTCTGGCGGTTGCCCCGTGGGAGGGAGTTGGCACTCTCTCTGCCTACGTGGGAGAGAAGGCAGTGTTGGGGGAAGTGTGGAAACCCTCCGGAGGCGCTGCTGCCGAAGGAAAATTTGGTGGGAGGAGGAGGACGGGGTAAAGACAGGCTGGGAGGGGAGAAGTAAGGAGGACAAATAGGTCGCCTCTCCCGAGTTGGCACAAAGTTCTTTTTCGAGATGTGGCTGAAGCCCGAGGAAGTGCTGTTGAAAAATGCGCTGAAGCTGTGGCTGATGGAAAGATCCAACGAGTACTTTGTCCTGCAAAGGCGTCGGGGCTACCAGGAAGAAGGCGGAGGAGGTCTTGCTGGTAAGTGTGGCCAACAGTTGTGGCCAGCTGCACCTGCGTTAGGTGTGTGTCCACTGTCACTTAGAAGGTGGCCAGGTAAACAGTTATTCCTTGCTGCTGGCCGCCTCTTCCTAAACCCGCGGCTACTTACTGGGGATTCTGCTCCTTCCACCACCTTTCAGAGAGTCGCGACTGTCTTGCACCGGACTAGCACTTGTCCTTTGGGTCAGCCCGGGATGGGAGAAGCTAAGGAGGGTTCCAGTACCCGATGGGTCGTTTTCCATGGGGGAGGGGCTGATGGCCTGTGTGTCAGATAGACTAGTCTGGTTGAGACCAGCCTTGAGAGCCGGTTCGCGATTGTGGGCTTAACTTTTTCCCGAAACCTATACAAAATAATCACCACCTGGGGCATGAGGGCAAGTGTGTGTGGTACCTTGTGAGGACATGGGAATCCTAGGAGAATGAGGTGCCCAGTCATACCTTGCAAGAGAGGCTTCAAATGAGATTTGGGTCAGAGCATGGGATGCCATATGAAGGGGAAGTGGAAGAGTTGCCCTCAGAATTACTCACGTCTACTAATTTTGCATCTTTCAAGATGTGTGTGTGTGTGTGTGTGTGTGTGTGTGTGTGTGTGTGTGTGTGTGTGTGTGT